AAATTATTTAATTAATTTAATATAAAATATATTTAATTAATTTAATTAATTCAATATATAAATTATTTAATTAATTTTGTATAAAAACTATTAAATTAATTTAATATAAAAACTATTTAATTAATTTTATATTTAAATTATTTTTACAGACTCTCGGTCACTGAATGACCGAACTCAGACATAAATTTTTTGTATAAATAAGCGTATCTGATTTACTATCATTCGTGTCAAGTTATCCGAATTATAAAGATGTTTGTGCAAGCTCATGTTTTCTATGGACCTGAGAAAAAAATCAGTGTTTACCTAGATCCGCTGTGGAATTTCAGAACCGTGGTTGCAGCAATTAACACCGGGTTTCGGCAGCTGGGCGGTCGCCGCGTGACGGTGAAAAAAATTGAGTATCGTTGTCCATATATAACGCTTACTGATGCTAGCCCGGAGGGGACGTACATGTACTACTTAGATCGTATAGAAAACGATGAAGATGTCCATTGCATATTTTCAGCACATAGCGGTGAAGTCAACAGAGGAGTCACAGATCCCCTTGTGTTGGTCGCTGTTGTATGTTAGAGTTTATGTGAGCTTCATGAGTTTTATTTTTGCGTTTGTGGAGTAAAGGATCAACTTTATGTTTGTAGTTCGCTGCTTTTGTTGTATTTTGAAAGTTGTTTTGAATAAATAATAATTGATGGATCAAATACGAAAGTAGTACAATATAATTATCTATTCGGTCGGTTTGACGGACCGGCAACATTGGGACATTTACTACGCATATGACCTATTTCTCTGCAAATCCCACACCGTCTCTTCTCTTTTTCTGCGTCATCCATCTCAGTTCTAATTCTACTACTTCTTGGACGCCCCTTTTTATTTCTTCTCATTGAATCGTCGTGGCACAGAGTGAAACCTTCATATTTTGGCCAGTTCTCCTCGTGTGGTAGTCCCAAGAAGCTTTCCTTGTAAGCCTTGAATACGTTAAGTACTGTGAAGACCTCTGGAATGTGAATTGCATAGTCTTGTCGTATGCTAGAACATGCCACTATCACGTGGGAGCAAGGCAAGTGAAATGTTTGAAATTTTCCACAGTCACACTTACGATTCCTCAAGTCAACGCTGAAAGTACCCGTTGGACGACCATCGTTGTAATTAATCTTTTCCTACACCATGAAACAGAATCTTTCCCGATCAAATTGCATGACGTTGTGTGTGTTAGCCTTGGCTACCTCCTCAGCCATTCCCTTGTTACAACCATCTGTGAAAACTTTCCCTGAAGATAGCATCTTGGTCCATTTATGTCCTCGTTTACCAAATAGTGAACCCATTCGATAATATGTAGACTGGACCAATGCCGTGATGGGAAGGTTTCTCGTGGCCTTTAGTACAGAGTTTATTACTTCTGCTAAGTTAGATGTCATATGTCCCCAACGTTGCCCTCTGTCAAATGCTCTAGCCCACTTCTCCCTAGGAATATTGTCTATCCAATTTAAAGCCTCAGTGTTGGATCTTCTGATTTCTCCGCGATAATAATTAAATGAAGCCTCCGTCAATGCGTAACCTGTATCAGAAATTGTGTGAGAAAAAATGATAAAAACGTGCCACAAAATTTTAGATAAGCGGTATTTATTTTGTTACCCATGTTAACAAGTGTTTTGCGTAGAACCTTGTCCTTAATCTCGCGCATGAAGTTCTGAGTAATGTGTCTTATGCAGTAGACATGTGAAGAGGGTGGATGTTGCCAACCGTTTTCAGGATTGTTGTATGCACTTTTTATCGAATGTCTATCAGATATTAGACATAAATTCGGTTGTGGTGTCACGTGTAATCGTAGGTTCCTCAGGAAAAAAACTCTAGGCTTCCTTTGTTTCTCCTTCGACCAATGCGAGTGCCACTGGGAAAATATTTGCGTTGCCATCCTGTGCCACCGCCGTCAGCACGGTGGAACCCTCGTATCCATATGCACAAAGGTATTTATGTAATATAATACTCATATTTATGTACGTAAAATATATATATTTCTTATTCAAATATGTCTAACATTATTTTGTTTTTGATTGTACAAGATGGGCACAAAGAGGAATGAATTATCGTGCAACTCCTCGTTTCCATCTTCAAGGATATCGAAACACGTTGGACCATATGCAAGAAAAAGATGTAAGTTTTAAACCAAGTGAAAATCGTGGTCGGTTCTTCAATTTAATGGCATCTTAATTTTCTTTGTTATATGACAGTTTATATGGAGGTCGTACATTCAGTACCCGGTCCCACGTCTAGAAGATAGCCAAATCTGGAGTGCCACAACGTACCTTATTTGTTTCTACATCATTGAGATGCATCAAATAGATAGGGTAACACTCCAGTTTGGAGTAGACCAACAAATCCCTCCCCTTCCTAAGTGTCTAAAGGATCAACACGCAATGACCATGCGAAAAGCGCAAAAAGTTCATTGGCAACAGTTAAATAAGGACGAGGTCCGAGAATGGAGACACAGAAGACATGTGATTTTGCAGGGGGGGACTCTGTATTAGGTGAACGCAAGCCAAGTCAACAGTATTTAACTTGGTTCCGCGCAATTCCTTATGTCTATGTTGCTCTGGATCAATTTTTGACCGACCCACGGACGCAACCATCATCATCGACACAACCAACTGCCGCATCAATGCATCCGGATGCCCCCACCAACCAACACCTCTCAATTTTGGGGGTACCCATCCTCGTCAGCTCAACATAACTATAACTTCCCCCAGTTCACCCAACAATATCAGCCCCAACCTACCTCCGACCACCCAGACAGTTCACCCCATGCACAGCCCCCAACTTTGAGCAGAGCAATCCTTATTTCCAATATCCTACAAATCCTACCTTCAACACTACCTTCTCACAACCCGCCTTCACGCCTGATGACGTCTACATCTCAACCGTTCAATAAACCCAAGTCGAAACCTACCCACAGCCACCACAACCAACACATTCATTCCAACATTTTTTACTGACAGAGGAGTAACTGATGCAAATGTCAGATTTTAACATCGAAGATATTCTAGATGATGAACCAGGACCCTCTACAAGGCAGACAATCCCCCCGACAACACATCACAATGAAGATTTGTCTTCCGACTCGTCTCAGTCATCTACAAACGAGCGTTTGGGGAGAGGACACCAACAGCGAAGGGCCCCTAGGTGTGGAACTGGGTGTCATCTTCGATGATATGTATATTTAAGTAATCAATTTTATTGTAACTATTTAATCTTGAAATTTTATTCTTGTAAATTATTTGATCAATTAATTAAATATGTTTATTATTAAATTAATTCAATAGATTTTATATGTTTTATATTAAATAGTTTTTTTTAAATTAATTAAATACATTTTTTATTAGTTTAATTAAATAGATTTTATATGTTTTATATTAAATAGTTTTCACTTAAAATTAATTAAATATATTTTTTATGTTTTTTATTAAATATGTTAAATTAGTTAAATATTATTTGATCAATTAATTAAATATGTTTATTATTAAATTAATTGAATAGATTTTTTATGTTTTATGTTAAATATATTTTTTATTATTTTAATTAAAAATATTAAATATATATTGCAGAAAATATGAAAAAATAAAAAAAACAAAAAAAAAAATTCAACACTGGTTCGCCCTTGGGATGGGCGAACTCCTTGCATGGCGTTTGCTTCCACTGGTTCGCCCTTGGGTTGGACGAACTCAAGCTTCCTTTTCAGTTGTTCGTCCCTTGCATGGGCGAACTCCGTCAAAAGTAGGGCACTTTGATAAAAAAAATTTCAAAGTAGGGTATTGTGGGAATATTGATTTCAATATAGGGTATTTGTGTCAAAAAATCGACAAAAACATTCACATTAGATTAAGAGCAAACAGGCAAGTAAGAAAAACACTTTATATTCACCCACCCTAAATCTTATAACAGTAAATATATAAATTTTGTACTTAAAAAGTATTTAAACTATTTTTCTAAACAATATGAAACTATCAACTCACACTTGTATCTCAAAAATAAGGTGAAGACCGCACAAACTTTAGAAAACCTACACATTACTTGTATCCATCATATTATGGTGAAACTCAAGAGTGAGTGGTCTTCTGTTACCCTACCAAGCCTAAACATAACTCTCTGATAGTACTTGTTAAAGAGTTCGGAAAACGCAATGACAATGGGCTAAATCTTCATGAATCCAAAATCCCTTATCACCACGTATTTATCCCAAACCTTAAAACATTTGGGATATATGTCATTTCTCTTATATATGAAAGATTTCTTCCATTCTAATCGGTTCAAGACTTTACCACTGATTGAAATCCAACATATTCCCAATGATTTCAAGCACACTACTATCAAATTTCCTTCACACTCTCCAATTATCCATTTCCTAAATCACATTATTAGTGTACTTCAAAGTCCCTCCCTCTCTCATCCTACCTCCCATCTCTCTCTCCCCTAGTGCAAAACCCCTTGACACACTGCAGACTTAAATCCTTAGGCCCATCTTCATTTTCAAGCCACATTTAACCATTCTTAAGAAAGTTTCTCTTCAAACAAAATAATCTAGTTCACCTATATATTCTAATCCATCAAAATACACTACATAAAGAATCATCCTGGTAATCCAATATTACACATATCATCAATCATATCATGCAAGAATCCAGTATGAGCAAAGCAAAAATAATTAACCAAATGTATAACAACCTTTATCAGCTAAAGTTTAAGAAATATTCATCCATCCAACACCAATCATCTCATGTTTCACCTTAATCGGGAGATAATCGGTTTCCCGAAAATAAACAAAAAATGATAATAAAGAAATTTTGGCTAAATTCTTAATGGCCATTTAATAAGTAACAATGGCACCAGAAACTTCAACTTCAATTAAGCAGAATTTTCCTGACTAATTGTGCCGGTTTTCTTGACCCCTATGTGTTCATCATCTTATCTTATAAGATATAATAGAATATTCGAGACACGAATATCTCTCATGTTGCTAAGCCTGTTGTCTTACAAATGGGACACAGATTCTTGTGCATTAGCCACTGTTTGATACATTCGGTATGAAAATCGTGCCCGCAGTCCAACGATCCGATATCATCTTCCTTTTTATACTCCTCCTATGCATATCACATAAACCATGTGGTAAGTACAACAAAATCCATGTGCATGCATAATCAATAGGAAATCACATGCATGCAAATGACAAAGAAAACAGTAAAATCATGTTTTACCTGACAAACGGAGCAGGGCTCTGCATCACTCTGAGAACCTGATTCATCAACTGAATATTTCTTCTGTTTCAAATGCTTCATGATGGTTTCCTCGTTCAGTCCGGTACTCACGTTACCGATGCGTTCTTCAAGAGCTAGTAACTCCTATTTGATTCACAAGTTTTGCATAATAAGTGTTATGATTCACGAGAGATAGAGGAGTATTAAACATTTTAAAATGTGGAAACTAGTTTTTTTACCTCATAAGACATGTTATCGACATCGAGCCGCATATCCCTGTGTCGATCATGAATATCAGCAATTCCAGAAAACATTGAATGGTCAAGAATCATAACATCCTATCACAATAAAAAACACAAGTCTTAAAACAAGAGTTTTGTACGAATATAACAAGTCAATATTGTGTTTTCAACCACAGAAAAAGCTAATCGAACGCTATAAACCCCAACACTCAGAAACTTGAAAAAACCAGCAAACCTTCATACATATATGTTGATAAGAATAAGTCCTATCAAAACAAGGGAGAATGTAATATTACAAATTACCAATGATACTAGCATAAATTGTAACAGTGCTCCCAGCCACGGCAAACGAATGCCTATGGCCCCAAGCTAATAATAAACCGAAACTCAAATTGACAAATGGAGTTGAGAAAAGCAGATAAAGGCAAAGCATCAAAAGAAATGGTCAATAGAGAAATGTAATGCTCAGGTTATATAGGTTTAAATTAGTTTTTGGACCCTCAAACACTTAATATCTAGATTTTGTCAGGTGTAAATCTAAATAACTTTGAAATTTTAATTTTGGACCTAACGCAACCACATAAAACTTGGCTTATAAGATGAGGAGGTGCCTCCTGTCCCACTTATATAACACTTTTCGGCCATATCTCATCTAATGTGGGACTCTCAACACACCACTTCCAAACCCGGGTTGGAACTAGACATAGAGTGTGACCCAAGTGGACCGGTGGTCCAATAGCAGATGACCCAACTACCCATTGGATCTTGGATAAACTATGATAACATCTTAAATTTTGATTAGGACTAACTCACCCCTACAAGACAGACCTGTAAGGAGAGGGATGTCTCCCCCGCATTAACACATTTGTAAGCCATATCACATTCAATGTGGGACTCACAACAATAGTCTCAGGTAACATTTGATCAACATGTTAGACGAGAACAGAGCAAAACTATGGAAGATAACAAGAATATAAGGTTAACTTGGTGGTAAGGGTGTGCGAGTTAATAAGTGAAATGATAAAGGAGGCTTAGACTTCTATCCCAACTCAAAACATCATACTAACATATACTAACCTACTAACATTTTCGATTCCAAAAATAAAAACAAAATAAATGATAAGAAAAGTGGTACATCAGAGTTCCGTCAAAAAGGGTAGACTCATAGCGAACAAAGAAGATTGTAAGCTCTACAACTAAACATGTCAAGTGAACATATAGATTACTTTATAACTAAATAAGAATTGAACCATTCCTAACACACTATGGCATTCAGATAAATTAAATACAAAAATTCCAAGAAAGCTTGCATACACCAGTAAATATGAAATAAAACTAACCTCAAACCGCAGGTTCCCACCCCTACGCATAAGGCCCAACACATTGCGGAGCTGCACAAAATATAAAGAATGTCAACTCCAAGAGAACAGTTATTCATAAAAGATAACATAATGAAAGTTAAAAGTGTTAGTGTGCTACAACAGTATTATCGTGAAAGAGAAGAGAGGACTGAATGCATACCTCGGATACAAGTCTACTACTTCCTTCACCAGCAGTAGCCAAAGATCGTAAGGAATAGGGGATTCCAAACTCACTATCAGCTGACCTCTCCAACCATGGAGATGATCCAGGGTTTGTCGCCGATGGCGGTCCTCTTGATTCTGATGGAGTAGAAGGACCGCGCAAGGTAGAATAGCTATTGCTTGAACTTCCACCTTCAGCACCAGGAGTAAACAAGGACCGGCGAACATATTCAGATAACCTGCGTGGATACTGCTGAGGATTGGGACGAGAAACCCACGCCGAGACAGATGATGGATTCAAAGCAGGAGGATTTGGAGCTGTCCGTGATGACGAAGCAACATTTCCAGGAACAGTTAAATTTGCAGTACTTGAAGGTCTAGATGCAGTTCGAACAGCATTTCTTAAATTTGCAGGTATAAACGCCGGATGATCTACAACTGAATTTGATGAATGGTTGTTAGTTGAGCTAGAACCACCATTCCACCTGACGGATTGCGAACTCCTTGGTAAAGCAGGAACATGACTTAGATGCGGATGGCTTTGAGGAAGCAGGGTATCTACCGGTGGTAATGACCTCAAGTCCAGAGAATTATCAATAGGGTGAAACCTCGGCAGCATTGGAGAAGACGAAGGAACACTAGAATTCCTCATAACACTCCCATTTGAGAATGTGGGTTGAGGGAGAGAAATCTGTTGGCTTGCAGGGTTTACCCTCAAGCGAAAATTTCTGTGGAAGCTTTCTGAGCTTCCTGCTACAGTTGACTCGGGTATCGTTTCAGAAGATCCATCTCCAACACTAAGGCCAAGTCTTGCATTCACCTGTTCAGCTGGTGATGATCGGTTGAAATTGTTCATCGCATAATCCTGAGTAGGAAGAGTATTCCAAGCACTGCCATCTGTATGCTGACTATAGCTAGAACTTCCACCGTCAGAAGATTGTCCACTGATTCCTTCACCTGCCTTTCTTTTACAAGATAGGCGGCGGTTCGGGTCTAGAGAACAACCTTGCCGACCGTCAGTCTCCCCAACAAAAACGCTGCTACGTCCACCAGAAGGAAGCAAAAACGAACCAGAACCAATAGTTGGTGGAATATGCTCATTCAGCTGACCGCTAGATTTGGCCGCGTTAGAATGATCGACTTCCACATGATAGCTATTATTATCACCGACATTATCTGCTAAAGCCGCGTTTAAATTGAGATTTTGCGGCATCAAATGAGGATTGGAGCCACACATATACATAGGACCTGAATTGACATTATCCAATGAAAAGGCATTGGTTGGTTCGAAGTGCCTTTCTTCGAGTCTCGGACCGGCTACAGCACTTCCGTTTATTGGAGGTGATAACCGCAATTCCCTTTTCAGCTCATTATTGTTAACTTCGTTTTGTGTATTACTGGAACTTGGCTCTCCTAAGCTCCATCCACTCAAGTTCTGCCATTCATGGTTTACAGAATTCCCGTGAGATGGGTTCATATCACTCGGAGAAAGTAGAAACTCAGGTAACCGATTCTCAGCGGGAGTCCGCATATTATTCCAGAAAATATGCTGATCAACTGCAGCATTACTTGATGTCGACCCACAATCAAACTCAAAGGTTTCAGACGAGGAACCAATCGTGCCTCTCTGTCCTTGCATTGAGAAATGTATAAATACAGTTAAATATCCGAAACGATTCCCTCAGTAAAACAATGAAGAGTTTAGCTGATCTGTTCAACAAAAAACACAAAAACGATCAGCAAGATTGAAACCCAACATAAATCAAAGAATTCTCTGTCACTAAAACACTCCATGTCACAAAAAATAGTTATCAACGAGGAAACCCGATACGTAAGAATCATTTCAAGAACGAGTTACAAAGGATAGAATCAAAAGTAGGGAACCATTACGCAATAACATACAATACTTTTCTCAACGTAAAACACATTGTGATAGTAACAATTAAAGTAGAAACAATATGAGAATGCCAAAGTAATCAAGAACAAAGTAAAGTAGCTTGCGATGTCAGCGCAAACGACACAAAAGACACAAGATAACAAAACCAACACACTTCAATTTAACATTAGCGTAGTGATACAAAAAAATCAATGTAGCAAAGCTTCATCATAAGCACAAAGTTCATCATGAAGTAAAACACCAAAGCATTTCGAAACATCACAATAACCATTACCAGTGAATCCAATAGAATCCTGCAGTACAAAAAAGCCACTAATGCAGCATTGCCAATCCATCAGCATCAAAAGCAATTGGCACAAAAACCACAAGAATAAAAAGTACCAACAAAGAATAAAACATAAAGTCAACTCCTTTTTACAGTAATGAACAAAACAAAGATAAAAACCAAGATTTTTGCCAAAATCAGAAGTTCTATAGCAACCCCAAATTGGGTATAAACCAGGCTAGATTAAACTTTTCTAGACCCAACAGAAAAACCATACTTCATCATCAACAATCATGTTAAAATAATTGTGAAAACAAATAAAATCCCTAAATTTTTTGGGGAAGAAAATAAAAAGTGAATTTTTTTTCAACCAAACCCAGAAATTAAAAATTAAAAATTAAAACCATGTAAAAATCAAAACTTTGAAAGCTTTTGAATCTAAGCAAAGCATAGAGTGATCAGAAGAACAAGGTTAATGAAGAAAAAGTGTAGGAAACTGACCAGATGAAAATGAAAGATGGTAGATCTATGAGAAAATCATGGGAAGAGTAACTGAAAAAACAAGGAAAGAACCCAAACCCATGTTGGTTTTGAGGATGTTTTCTTGTCTGGTTCCTTTTCCACACATGAACATGAAGAGGAAAAAGAGAGGGTGTTGATGATGGTGGTGGTGGTGTTGATGATGGTGGTGGTGGAGGAAGAATGATATATCCCAAAAAAATGAGATATGAAAAATGAAAAAAAATAGGGAGAAATTAAAGAGGGGAGTAATTTTCAATTTACAAAAACAACCCAATTGAAGAGAGAGATAGAGAGAGAGGGGTTAGAGAGAGAAAGTGTGTTCAAAAGTCATAGCTTTAGAGGGAGGTGGACACACAACACAAGCAGCTTCCCTTACAACAAAGGTGTCAATCATATATATTTACCCTAATTTAAAAGTAATAATATTTTAATCAAATTTACCTAAACCATAATAAATCCAATTTTCAATTTTTAATATATATATATATATATATGATCAAGATTCAATGCATTTTATACTTATTTTTGTTAATATATTATATAATATAAAGAAATTTATAAACTATATAAATGAATTTTACTATCTATTGGCATCTTCTGTTTTTAAGAGATTAATATTTTCAATTAAACTTAAAGATATTCTATGAATATCCGATTCTTTTTAATTTAAATTATTAAAATTAATATTTAAGTATTTAATATTTGATATGTCTAGAATATAATTATTTATTATTAAGATATTTTGATATAAAAAATAATTGTTTGGAAATAATTGATTTATTTCAACTTTTAGTACAATTTTAATTGTATTTTTTGAAATATATATTTTAATTAATATTATTTTTTGATAACTTTTAATTTAATATTTTGTGATTTATATTTATGATAAAAGAAAATATATTAACATAATGAGGGTTTTTAGTCAATGTATTAGTCTTATTTATATATATATTTTTAAATTTTTGTGAAAATAGAAATTTTAAAAATCAAATGTATTTTTTTCTATAGACCAAATAGACATAACTTTTGGGGCATTTTTATTTATCTTCATTCTAGATTGATTAAAAGAATAAAATTATGAGATTTCTTCTTTTATAAAAAATAATATATATAATACTTCTTCTAGATTCATTTTTATTAAGAAAAAAGGTTTATTTTTATCCTTCATAAAGAAAAAGGAAAAAGTTAGGTGTTTGTTTTTCTTCTAAATATAATGGCGATTTCTCTTTTCTAATTTTTCTTTTTTACGAAAAATTCATGATCATTTATCAAAATTATTAAAGAATAAATTTAATATTCATAAAATAATAATATTACATATGAACACATTAATTAATATTTATTTATACCAAAATTATTCAAACTTTTAATAATTTGGTTCATAGTACTAGAACATTGTATTTATTATATTATTATTATTAAGAAAAATATTATTATTAATATTAGTTGGTAAATATTTATTGCTTTGAAATTGGTAATCTGACTAAAGGTTGAAAGGGTGTCTGCTCTGCTGCCCTTGTTTGGCAGCTTACCAAATATGTGATGTTTGTATTTTGTATGGGTCCTTCTTTTGTTTATTTTTTATTTTTAAAAATAATGGATCCTTCTTTTATTAATTTAGAATAAAATAAAAATTGCATTTTCTTCAATGTATATTTCTAAACAAACAAAATTATATATTTGGCCTAGTATTTTGTATTAAAAAAATGTCCTTGTATTATTATTATTTAAGGCAATTTTTATATTGAGTAAAAAAATACAATATTTATGGTATTTTATAAAAAAAAGACAAATTTTTTATGGTTGTATATTTTGACCAACATAATTTCAAAAATGAGACTTTAAATATTTTGTCCAATTCATTTTAAAGATATTAATGTTTTAATATTTTATATTATAATATGTGTGCACCTTTTGTGATATATCAATTTCTTAAATGAATTGCATTATTTTTAAAAACCCATTCTTAACTCTTGGTCAATAAGAATATATGAATTTAGTAAAAATCAATTAATTGTATTGAATTAATTATAATTATTCATTTGGTGGAGATATTGAATTCAATTATATTATTTTAAATTTTAAATGTAATAACTTTATGATTATACGAATAAAAAATTTGATTATTAGTAGTTTTTTTTACTGAACTTGTATGTTACTAATTTTTTTTGTTCAAGATTTGTATGATTATTACAATGTCACAAGTTACTTTTTTTATTTTATTTAATATGATGGATTTTTTTATTAATTAAAATAAAGTAAAAATAATTCTTTAAAAAATAAAATAAAATATAAATTTTTAAAAAGAGAAAATGAAAATTTCTTTTAAAAAATATAAAAATTGCATTTTCTTTGATATATATCTTTAAGTAAACAAAAAAATATATATATGACCTAGTATTCTAGTTAGGGAAGGCAAACAAACTTGGATCCGCTGCACCCGTCCGAACTTATCTCAAAATTAATGGGAAAATTTTAATTTAATTAGATGCGGGCGTGAAAAAAATCTGATTCTTAACTACAGTTACAGCGGAAAGACACTAAGACACTAATAATTTAATTTAATTATTTTATTTTACTTATTTAATATTTATTTATTTATTATATTTTTAATTAAATTATTAATGTCTTGTAATTAAAATAATTAAATTAATTAAATTAATATTCACTTATTAATTAAATTTTTTATCAAATAATTTATTTATTTATTAAAATAATCAATTTTTTAATTAAATTATTAACTTTTATTGCAATTAAAAAAAAAAAATTTTACGGATGGAGGTGGGACGGGTACATCTGTTCTATATTGAGGACGGGTCTGAGCAATAAATTTTTATCTCCAATTAAATTTAAAGACGAGAATAAATGTGTTATACGAAGACGAATGCGGATACAAGTATAATTAAATCCGCCCCACTCCGTTGCCATTTTTAATTCCGATCAAATAAAACATATACTCTAACCTATTATTTTGTATTAAAAAAATGGCCTTGTATAATATTATTTAAGGCAATTTATATTGAGTAAAAATGAAATTTTTTATATTTTTTAAAAAGGAAGGAAAATTTTATGGTAGCTTTGAGTGTTTATATATTTTAAAAATGAGGCTTTAAATATTTGATCAAATTCAAGTTAAAGATATTAATGTTCTAATATTTTTTATTATACAAGTGTGTGCATCTTTTGTGATATATCAATTTCTTAAATGAACTGCATTATTCAAAAAAAAATCATTCTTGATTCTCAGTCAAAGTAATATATGAACTTAGTAAAATAGTCAATTGTATTGAATCAATTATAATTATTCTTTGATGAAGATATTGAATTCAATATATTATTTTAAATTTTAAGTGTAATAACTTGTATGATTATTATTATTTTGACTGATCTTGTATGTTGGTTTTTTTATTCAAAATTTGTATTATTATGCAATGTTACAAGTCACGTTTTTATTACTAGTGTAAAATAAAATTAAAGTGTTACTAAAATAAAAGTTACATTTTTATTTTTTTTATATTTTTTTTTTTAAAGGTAGCGTATGACTCTCACTCCAGAAAAAGAGAACCAACCTCACTTGTCTAATATTGTGTTTCCATTGCCTTCACGCCAAGCACCATTGTCTTTACCATCCACTTCATATATTTTTTTATATTCATGTGACCCCTCTTTCTTTTTTTATTTTTATTTTTATTTTCCCTCTACTTTTGCATGAGATATAAAATAAATTTTTTTTATACAAATATCTCAATTTCTTCTACTTTTAATATTTAATAAATTTTTATCTAAAACTAATATTATGTCAATAAATATTCTATTCATTGAGTTATTATCAATTAAGAAATATCAATAAGAAACAACTAACATTATTTTATATTAATTTTTTTTCATCACTAGTATGACTCACTAAATCGTCTAGACTAATTCGAAATTAATTGAGACATTAAGTAGTTTCAAT